GATGCTGGAATTCAATAGAGGCGCTGACTGTGACCTGGCTGCTGTACTTCTGATCCAGCTCCATGCTAATGTGTCTAGGAAAGCAAAGTGGCATGACACAAGTGTTTGGGCCCTTGCCACCCATGCGGGGGACCTGGAAGAAGCTCCAGACTTCCGTCTAGCCATGACTTAGTCACCACTGCAGTCATTTAGGGAGTGAACTAGTGAACAGGAGATCTCTCTCCTCCCTCTCCTTGCTCTGGGTCTCTCTGCACCTCTTTCAAATTAATAAGGAAATCTTTTGTAAAGATGTTGAGTTTCTATGCTCCATTCTTTCTCTAACTTTCCTCATCTCTCCTCTCTTCTGTAAGTTATTCTCCACATGCCCTATAATAAAGGCACTCTCATTTTCAATCATGTCTTGATAAGTTTCCCTCCCTGAACTAACAACATATTAGTTATGATTTCATTTAACAGAGTCCCAAATAACTTAGCTACCTGTTAAGCTAAAAATGATTCAGCAAAACCAGTAGATAGCTACCCTGTTTCTACACATACAGATTCATGGTTTTTTCTCTTGAGGTCAGGTTATTGTTTTCTTTTACTAAACCCACAGGTGTACTCATAAAGATTGAACATACAAATGAAATTTTTAAATGTTACAGGGGAAAATGTTACACATGAAGTTGTCACCTGCATACACTTCCACAACTTAGTTCAGTTTCTGATGGCTTTTAATGAGCTTTTGGCAGCCTTTATTTTCCTATCCACTCACACGATGAACTTGCATTATTTTTTTAAGATTGATTTATTTATTGGAAAGTCAGATATACAGGGAGGAGGAGAGACAGAGAGGAAGATCATCCTTCCGATGATTCACTCCCCAGGGGACCACAACGGCCGATGCTATGCCGATCCAGAGCCAGGATCCAGGAAGTTCTTCCAGGTCTCCCACACAGGTGCAGGTTCCCAAAGCTTTGGGCTGTCCTCACCTGCTCTCCCAGGCCACAAGCAGGGAGCTGGATGGGAAGTGGAGCTGCAGGGATTAGAACCAGTGCCCATATGGGATCCCGGGCGTGTTCCAGGTGAGGACTTTAGCTGCTAGGCTCCACCGCCAGGCCCCGAACTTGCATTATTGAAGAGGATACTGTGATATAGTCTTTGAAGCAACCTAAGACAGAGGCGGTAATATAAACAGACAAACATAAAAATAATTATCTGTGTTAGTAATCTGATTTTGGTTACATAAAACGTATTTGTGTTTTACAGTAAAATGTCATATCGAGATCTTGTGCTAATCTTCAGGGAAATGTGATTTATGTAACATATTTACATTCATAAAATAATGATTTAGATGAATAGAGTATAACATTGATTTAGTCATTTGGTTATAAAAACATGTTTTTATGAGAATTTTAACTTTATCTGTAGCAATAATTACAAAGATAAATAATTTTACACTCCAAACTCCCAGGTGATCATCCTAAGGTTATATTTTCAGTTGGCATGAATTCCTGAGACAGCATGACCACACATCCACCAACATGTGTGTAATAGGAACCATTTCAGAAAACAGTTACAGCTCCAGATGCCCTGGGGTCTCGCAGCAAGGCTGTGGTCTAGGGGGCTGTGCCTTTCCATCATCCTTGAGCACAGGCACCCTCCCGTCAGGAACCCATAGGATATAAAGAAGTCTGCTACATCCTCCAGTGGACTTGAAATTGTGCAACTTCGTGCCAGTGGAAATAGTCTAGCCAGTATTATGATTTATTTTGCAGGAGACTGGAGGGAAATGGTGAAGGGAAGCTGCAAGCAACGTGGCCAAACAGCTGGCTGGTTTTCCGTCCCAGAAACAGCTTGGGACTGACTATACTCCCAATATTTCTTGGCCAGCGAGTTTGATGAAAATACCAAAGCTGTGAGGAGAAGTGTTCCTTTGCTGAGTGCTTCATGTAGCTACCATAGAGCTTATTAACCTAAATGAGTGCTAGTATCACTTTTCACTTTAAGAAGAAAAAGTCCTTGTATGTTTAAGTGATTAAACACATACTGCTTCTTTTACAGTAAAATTGCAGTTCAGTATAGCATTATCAACAATAAAAAAACCCTTAACAATTTGCAGAAACTTTAATACTAGTTGTACATTGATGTTGTTTTTCCTTACAAATATTGTTTTCGGGTGTAGTCAAACAAAAACTTCACAGAAATTTTAGTGTGAACTCAAGGTTACTAATTTTCTGAATGTCAAATCAAATGTGTAATGGAGACTAGTTCTAATGGCTTTATGTAGCTATTGATTCTTTTAACACTTTATACTTCATTATTCAATAAAAGAAACCTAATTTAAAATGTGTTTTACATTCATCTTCTAGATAACATAATGGCAGATACACAAGATCTGCTTTGCTTTTCTAGAATTTCCTATATTAGATATAGTGCAGTTAAGTATTTTTGGAGCCCTTGATATCACCCTTTATGTGTTATTTGAATAAATATATTCTTCACTAAGTATCCAAGGTAGATTCAATTAGCTGAGACATCTCATCCTTTCATCTCATGAGTCACCTTGAGTCTATTCCTGTGACATCAGAATTAGTTTCTCCTCTCATAGTTTGCTATATTTCTCCAGTGACCTGAGTAGTTTATTGGCAGCCAGTTTTCAAAATGCTCTCTGGGATTATCTAAATGCAAAATGTTAGCATTGGAAAAGTACATCATTGCCTCTCCTGTCAAAAAATGTAATTAGCACACATAATATATTGTCCAAAGTGGATGAAAATGCTAGGGAGTGACCTCATACCACAGTTCCCTAGGGCACACAAAGGCCATGCTGTCCCTGAACATCTTGCACCCCAGCACAGCACTCTGCTCCGTGCATTTCTGTTTGCTGTGTATATGTGTGCAGGTGCATATTTTTAGTTAAATATTTGCTCCAACTCAGTTTCAATTTCTTCAACAATTTTTAATCGTCACTCAACTTCAGGATCTGATGTGATGGCTCCGTTTGCTAGCCTACCACCTGCAAGTGCCTGCATCCTTTATTGGCTCCAAGTCATGTTCTGGCTGCTCCACTTTCTGTTCAACTCCTGGCTTGTGGCCTGACAAAGCAGTAGAAGATGGCCTAAGTCCTTGGGATCCAGGCTCCTGGCTTTGGATTAGCTCAGCTGTGGCCAATGCAGCCATCTGGGGAGTTAGTCAGCATTTGAACAATCTTTCTGTTCCTCCTTCTCTGTAAGTTAGCTTTTCCAATTAAAATACCATAAATCTTTAAAAATAAATAAATTCCACTGTTGAATATAAAATTGCTTCTAGTTTTGTATCGTTACTCCTATCTTACTCTTACTGCAAATTCTTAGAGAATAACTTTGCCTTTCTAATTAGATCTTCTATGTGGCATTCCATAATGGGGTGATTTAAAACAAGAGACACTTATATCTCACAGTTTTGGAACAGGCAAGTGTAGGATGAGGATGCTGGCGTGGTTGGGTTCTGGTGAGTTCCTTCTTTCCTGGTTTGTAGAGTATCAGCTTCTCATTGCTGATTAAAAGGAAAACTAGCAATCTTTTTGGCCTCTTTTTATTAGGGCACTAACCCCATTCATAGGATTTACTGTCGTAACACTGTTAAACTTGGGCATTAATACTGTAATGTGAATTGGGAGAGTTAGAGAATACAAAAGTTCAGTTTCTTCAATCTCTTCAGTTCATAAATAATAGAGTACCTATATTTTCATGTTTGTAGGATAATTCCAGGAAGTGGAATCACTACGTTAAAACTTCTGCCTTTCTCAGGGTGTTGTCTTATTATACCAACACTCTTCATTGTTCATCCACACTACTTTAGTCTTGCCATGAAAGATTATCACCAACATTTGGTAGATTTTTCAAACTTGAAACAATGGAAAGACATGTAACAGTGAGCTGGTAACTAACATTTTTCTTATTGTATACGAGGCTCAGAATTTTATCATGAGGTTAATGTTCCTATATAGTTCTTTTTTGGTTACAAGTTGCTTTCATATGTTTTGTCTATAGGGATTTTTCCTTGTTGATGTACGGAAGTTGTTTGGTTAGGATTAGGGGCAGCCTTCCTTTTTCTGTCGCAGGAGATACTTGCCTTTGGTGTAAGAGTTTACTCTCCCTGGAAGTCCCTGTTCTTGAAAAGTGTCTGTGATGCCAGCTTCCTCACCTCTGGATGGCAGTTCTTGGCAGTGTTTTCTTGTACCTGGAAAATGGTCTGATTGTGCTTTGCTCTCATTTGTACAGTTTTTTCCCCAAATCTCATCATTGTTTTTAAACTGAAGGCATTGCTAAAGCAGTGCATTTTTGTTAGAGCTTATATCAGACTTAAGTTTGTAATAGATTCTTATTTTTAATAATTTATAAAAATAAAGATTTTTTAGGATTCCTCTAAGTTCCCCAGATTTAAAAAAAATGCCAACAAGAATAATATGGCAATTTATGAAAATTCTAGGAAGGGGAAGTTGATGCTCTGCCTCAAAACAGGAATATAGGTATAATACTATAATATTAGTGTACGGAGAATAGTAAGACATAAGTAAATGAATAGTAAATATATTTTTCAATATTTATGAATTTGTAAGACCCAGGAAGAGAAAGAGGAGGAGAGAAGCTTCCATCTGTAAATTCACTCCCTAGTTAGTCTCAATAGCCAGAACTGGGCTTGCCTGAAGCTAAGAGCAAGAAGCCTGTGTGTTTCAGGGGCACAAACACTTGTGCCATTCTTTCCTGCTTTACCCAGGCCTTTAGCAGAAAGTTGGATCCAGAAGCGAAACAGGCAAGCCATGAACCAGAGCCCATATGAGTACTGGTAATATATAAGCATGCATGTATGTATTTTAAAACAATCACAAAGTATTTTGATTAATTCTATTCCAGTGGGTAAATATGAGCCCAGATTTACCTGTTTGAGAAAAAATAATAATTTACCTTTATTGTTGTGAAAAAGCAAAACAATGTATTTCATTATGTTAGTTTAATTGTTCACTCCATGTTGTGTAGATCCACATCTCTTTAATTAATGGGAGACCAAGTGCTGATGACCCTTCCCCGGAGCTGCTGGAATTTACCTCTGCTCGCTACATCCGCCTAAGGTTTCAGAGAATCCGCACTTTAAACGCTGACCTCATGATGTTTGCACACAAAGACCCGAGAGAAATCGACCCTATCGTCACAAGACGCGTAAGTCATGATGAATCTCACTGGAGTCTATAAATGACTTCACATCTATCTTAACACTATTTTAAAAGATATTTAAGAATGTTGTTATCAGAGATTTTGAAATTCTGTAAACATTCCATGGTTCAAGTCCAAGTTCTGCTACTTGCTGGTTTGCCAGGAGCCAAACATGAGAAGTTCCTTAAGCTCTCATGCTCAGTAAATAATCTTGTTTAATGAACAGAATAATATAGACACATTTTTAAACCATTGTAGATGATCTATAAAAGTATTATAATTGTCCCTGTAGAGTCTCTTCAGAAAGTATAATGACTTTGAAACTTTTTCTCTACAACTCACTCTAGGAAGTAAAAGAGTTTTCTTTATTTATTTGAAACATTGAGTGACACAGAGAGAGAGGGGGAGTAAGAAGGAGAGAGCGTTCATTTTCTGGTTTACCATCCAAATGCCTGAAATAGCCAAGGCAGGCCTAAGCCAAATAAGGTCCCATGGCTCCGTTTGGAACCACGAGCACTTTCATGTCTTCAGCTTCAGCTCCTGCTCTGGTGGAAAGTTCGATTCTGATATAGTCTATGAACAGCAATGCAGAGATTCTTCAATTCTAGAAAGTTCCTGGGTTATATCATGTTGTTCTGTGGACAATTTTGTCTACAAAGCTTGGTTTGCTTCACTAGTGAATTGCAAATCATAGTTAAAAAAAAAAAACTGCTGTTATTCTGCTTTCAGTTTTATTTACCTGCAGAGGTAAAATGTAAAAACACAAAAGATCCAAGAAAATTCAACCTTCCAACGTATCTTTGAACACAGGAGATATTAGAAGTACTGTGTTGCAGCATGATAAACTGGAATCCGTGAAGTTATACCATGAGTGATCAATCCTGATTGCTGTGAATAACTGCCTTCTAACGGCCCTTACTATGGTTAAGCTAATGTCACCTCCTCATATGCTACCTCATGGTCCAGATATTGTTACCAATGGAGTCCATTCATCTGCAAACACATAAAGAAAATTCACACTGACACAGCACTGTGGGGTGACAAGCGGTGTGGGTATGAAAGAGGTTGTGTGGCTAAACTCACATTGTGAGGCAAAGCACTTCACGATGGAGTAAGTCCATTAATGGTCAGACCGCTGCTACCACTCACCAGACTGCTGAGCCAGGGAGCTGAATGTACACCATTCCTGTGTATTCCTCACCAGCTTTCTCTCCTTTTGACTTCTGCACACTAAGTCTCTCCATCAGCCCAGAACAGGACACAAATTTTAGTCCCCCTCATACAACACGTGATAGATGGTTTAGTACCCTATATTTTCCAACCTGAAAAATTTTTATCCTGTCCCATGTTAAAAATAGAACGAATTGTCTCATGCAGAAGTAATCATTACTTTACAGTAGCATTGAGATTCTTCACTTGTTTTTAAAAAATCACTTTTGACTTTAATTTTGGTATGACTTAAAAATATACACCAAGGAAAACTGAATCATACTGAAGTGAAATTTATTTTTTCCTGACACTACATCTATCACGCGGGAAAAAAAAATCAATGAAAACAAATTAGTGTTCCTTTTATCATTTTTTGCAGGAGGCATTGGGGATGGGGTACACATCTATTATTTATAGCTGCATTGTACATGAGCCTTTAAAATACTGCAGCAGCAGTCAATAGATAAATATATTTTTGAAAGCACTGGAGTTCAATAAAGATTGCATGTAAATTTAAATATATAAAAATAGGATATTGAATTCCAGCTCCTCTTCATGACTTGCAAGGGAAGCCTTATACATTTATATTTAAAATAGATTTCCCAGTTTAATAGCACTTACAAATACTACTGTGCCAGCCTTCGGAGCTAATATTCCCGTTTGTAGCTGTACTATTAAGTGGTAAAAATTAGCACAAGGGGACTTTTTGTATTAACCCCAAATTCCAGCAGCTTCCATTAGGCCAATGACTATGTTTATCAAGTAGGGTGATGTGGCAAAAAATATGTTTAAACCAACTCTATGTAAATGAAAGAAGCAAACAAAAGGAAGAACTCAAAAAAGAAGTAGAAACAGTGGCGCTTGTAGCCAGAGAACTGAACATTTGTGTTTATTAGGAGTTCTCGCTAAATCTAGTATTTTCTCATGTGTACAGTTGGAATAGTAGAACTATCACATCTTGAGAAAGTTATTTATATTCCATGCAATAGCATAAAGTGCTATGATAATTGTAAACCACTACGTAGGATTTTGTTAACATGTTTCGTTTAAAGTTCAATACTGTAGTTATAAATAATGTTAGAAGTAGCTGAATAAATTAAAATAATTACAAAGAAAGCTCTCAAGTTCAGGTTTGAAGATAACTGAGTGGACATTTCAACATAATAATGAGAAAAATTGGTATGACTTGCGGTTACCTGCATTTCTTTATAAGTGTTGCTAGTCGTGCTATTTTCCCCACATTTCTTTCATTCTTTAGTTTTTTAACTCCTCCGGTCAAACAGTCAGCATATGATTCATGAATTCTGAGGTTGCTATCACCACAAAATATTCTCTTTCAAAAAATAATGTAAAATATGCTAAAATATGTTTTATGAAGAATTGACCTTAGTAACACAGATAAAAACTGTTCCAAACATGAGCTTCTCCCCGATGGACTGTACACTACCAGGACAAATGGCTTATCTGACTACCTAATAAACTGGGGACATTCCTTGCTCGGACCATGATGACAATGCTAGGAGTTCCTGAGTCTGTTCTTTGAGCCTTCATTTGTTGTCCTAGAGAAACACAAGGGCTTTAAGCTGAGGATAGAAGCAGAAAACAAAGTTTGTAACTGAATGTTCCCTTTTGTGACTCTCACTTTGCAGTCCCCTTAACACGATTTCTCTCTGGATTGCTTTTTTTTTTTTTTTGCAGTACTACTACTCTGTCAAGGATATTTCCGTTGGAGGGATGTGCATCTGCTATGGTCATGCCAGGGCTTGTCCGCTTGATCCAGTGACAAATGTAGGTATATTTATAGACTGCTTAGGCAAAACGGAGCTCTGAGCTGGGAAACGCTTTATGAGAGGCTTTGCTGACGGAAGACGCTGTGAATGGGTGTCAGGTCCCCACTTAGTAGGTGCAGCACGAAGCTGTGCTAGGGTGAAATAGAGCTGACAGTTAGGATGATAGACTTTGAAGCCAGCCATCACAATATCAGAAAACATATTATTTTTTTCCAAAAGACTCCAAACTGATCTATGTATGTCGCAGCCTCTCTTGTGGTGACAGCTTGCAGTGTGATTTAGGCTCTGGAAACACCTGCATTCATTATCCTGACCATTTCTCTTAAATTGTTTAGTCAAAAAAAAATTTAATGCACATAAATGAAATATGTGTGTGAATGTAAACATGCAAATGACACTGGAAAAAGAGACTGAAGTGGGAGAAAATGACAAGAATAGGATAGAAAATCCAGAACATTGAAAATGTTAAACCAGAAAGTGCTGAAATGATTTGGTTAGAATTTTTTGTTAATGATTATGTATTAAATGAACATACCCTGAAGAGGGTAATGGGTCTCTGTACTTTCATAAAAATGTAATTAAAAATAAAATTATCTATTGTGCTGTGTATGGAAGAACTCTACTGAACAATAAGACAAGCGAATGTAGATAGGACTATGGGTCTTTTTCCCTCTACTAAAAATATCTTACAAATGTGAGTTAAAGCAGAAATAATCTTTTTCTTTTTTGAAAGATTTTATTGTAAAGGCAGATTTTACAGAGGGAAAGAGAAACAGAAAGATCTGTCTGCTGGTTCATTCCCCAAGTGGCCACGAGGGCTAGAGCTGAGCCAATCTGAACAGAAGGCAGGATCCAGGAACTCCTTCTTGTTTTTCCACGTGGATGCAGGACCCTAAAGCTTTGAGTAGTCCTTTACTGCTTTCCCAGACCACAATTAGGAAGCAATATGTGAAATGGAACAGCTAGAACTTGATCCAGAGTTCACAGGGGTTTCCCAGTGCTTGTCAGCCAATGGTTTACTCAGTACGTCATCATTCTGGGCCTGAGTTAATTTTCTAATGAATAGATTATAATGTTATCTCCTAGGAAGACTCAACTACCCTGGAATACTTTTCCTCTTCAAAGTTCTCAGGCTGATTTCTGCATGATGTGAATAGTTTTTATCAGACACATTTGCTAATAAGATGGTGTGTTTCTTAAAACTTTGGGGCTCACAAGCCAATCTTGGAAGGCCGGTCACATGAGATGAATCAAAACATATAAAGGAATCTATTTCTGGGAGTATTATTTTTCTTTTGTTTTAAACATTTTAGGGAAGGAAAAAAGAGGGGGTGAGCAAGCATTCAGGAGTGCAAAAGGTTGTGGGGGTGTATTCCCAATTCACTGCAGTCCACAAATTCTCACAATGCCCAGAAGGTCAATGCCAAAACTCACAGTTCAGTTCTATGCAAGTAGAGGGTCTGCAATATCCGGAAGCAGAAGTCAGGAGCCTAGTGGGCCTAATAGCCCGGTGCACTAATAGGTGCTGCAGGCTTAAGCATTTGTCCAAATACCTAGCCCTACTAGATTGCTCTTTTCCCCATGCTTAGATATGTTTAGGAATTATAGGAAGTTAGCATTTATTATCATGTTGAGAAGAATCTTCTTTGTTCTTACTGCATTGTCATTCCAAACAATGTGAGTATGATTTCCCCTTTTTAATAGAAATCTCGCTGTGAGTGTGAACATAACACATGTGGGGAAAGTTGTGATCAGTGCTGTCCAGGATTCCATCAAAAGCCCTGGAGAGCAGGAACTTTTCTGACAAGAACCGAGTGTGAAGGTAAGTTCATGAGAAGCCAACAGATTTCTAAGTGTATCCCTCTTGTTTCCCTGGGATTTTCATCTGAGACCTTTCATCTGCTGGTTCACTCCCCAAATGGCTCCAATAGCAAATACTAAGCCAAGAAGGAACGAGGCCAAAATCAGGAGAGTCATTGGGTCCCCTATTTGTATTCAGGGACCCATTGGATTGGACCATCCTCCTGCTTTTCCCAAGCCATTAGCAGGTGTCTGTTTCAAAAGTGGACCAACTTGTACATGAGTGACCATCATACGGAATTCTTGCATTGCAGGCAGCAGCTTAATTGGCTATGCCACAACACTGGACTCTCAACTATTAATATTTTAAAGTCTGAATTCTCCACATCTTATTTCAGTACAGGAAGTTTATATGGCCTCCAAAACAGATTCTGTAGATAAGTTAAACCAATAACAGCACTATATATTTGTTGAATAACATAATGTAACATTTATTAGGTATCATAGTAAGACATACTAGGCCTTTGAAACTATTGGATCATAATAAATTTTAATCATAAAATCTTGCCAACCACAAACTATATTTTCTGTTTAACAAGTGGCACCTTCTGTCTGTGTCTTGAGGACTTTAATTTTCTGCATATACCTGCTTTGCTTTTTTTATTTGTGCTGGTTTTCTTGGAAAGATACTTAGAAATCTCTAGTCAGAACTGGAGGTTTTTATGCTAAATGAAAGAAGCCAGACCCAGAAAGACAAATATTACATTTCCTCACACATTTGGAAATTAATATACAGAGTACAAAGGAGAGCACTCTACCACTGGGCCATGTGGGGTCATGGGCCATCTGTGGTTAACATCACTGTGGGGACCTTAGGGCTCCCCCTTGTCCTCTTCAACTACTTACAGTCTTGTTTCAGCTAATCCGCCAGATTCTGCACAGCTCTCCCAAAGGGAGACTTACTCCAGTGTGGCTTGAAATGACATGCCACCTAAACATATTTGTCCTTAAATTTGCTTAAATTTTAGTTAAACTTCATTTTTTATTTGTGCAATATCAGTAATTACAATTTGGAGCAACATTTCAAGTTATTTTATCATGTAGTTATAATACATACTTTTAAGTGGGTAGTCAGAAGCCTTTAGAACTCTTCATTTGAGTATTTTGTGTTGGAACACAAAAGAATAACTTAGCTTGTTAGCAGCTGGCGTGTACAAGGAAAAGAGTTCATTTATAGCCATGTATACTCTCTTATAATCTAGAAGCAAGTTTCTCTCTGTAGGAGAGAGAGCAGGTTACATTTCAAAACTGAAAAATGAATACCTAATAGATCAAGAAATTAAAAATTTGATCTCAGTTGTAAAACCTTAGATAAGCATCGTGTTTTAAGTCATGCATATGTTCCTAACAGCTTAAGTGAAAATTTCCTTTTCCAAGTTGAATAATATTGTGAGCAAAATAGGATTCAAAAAAATCCTTTAGTGACATAACAAATGCTTCCGTAAAATGATAATCTCTTTCTAATTCATTTGAGTTTGATTTAGATTTTCTTCAATCTTGCTTATTTATACCCAGATGTTTCTCTAAAGAGCAAAGAATATTCATTCCACTTACTAAGCCTTCACTTGGAACACATTGATGTCAATGATTTGGATAGTCTAAGAAACAGTTGCTTGGCTACATACATATATATTTGCATATATATTCACACATGCACCTGATTTTATATATGCTATGTGTTCTCTAGAAGAAAGTTTAAAACTTTGTATTAGTTTAACAGAATATTCTAATCTGAGTACAAAGTAAGCAGAGTGGAGGAGGTATCTACAACAACCATGACAAGGAGATAATATCTATACTGTGTTAACAGAGCTTATATATCAGCAAACAGAATTCAGTAATGTTGTTTAAATGTGATGAAAGACTTCTTACTCATGTTTTGAAGTATTTATTCATCAATTCAACAAATCTTGAAGGCTTACCATGTCCAGCGGAGTATCAAAAGGACTGAAAACACAAGATGTTGGAGAAGCCCTAGGGAGATGGATTGCAGTATCTGCTGCAGGAAGAGTGAATGACATAGCATTTTTAGAAGGGAACTTTTCAAATTAAAATTTAAGTTTTTCCATGTCCTTTATACATGCATTCATGTAAATGGACCTGCCATATTAAAATGATCTTTATCATTATGCAGCAACTGCTGTGATTTATTTGTTAGAGCTGAGAATTTAGAATTCAGTGGTTTTGCATTCTCAAAAGAGTGTAAGAGAAACAGCAGTAAAATTCTGGTTTTGTTTTCCTCAAAATCACTCATTGGTATATAGGAGACAATCTGACATCTGAGCCCCCGAGCTTCCCACTCCTGCCTTGACCACCCAGCGTGTGCACAGTGTTACTGTAAAGGAAAGCCTGGAAGAAGGCTGTCTGTCCATTAATGGGACATGATAAATAACTCCTGTCATGAAGTACACTACATAGCATTAGGGATTTTATGCACTATTAGGAAGTAACTCCGTAATTATTTACTGCTTGTAAAATGACACAGTTCAGAACACTACAGACAGAACAGAAGTTATTGCCCTGGCCCCTCCACAACCTATGTGGAGTGAAAGAAACCATACATTGAGCTGTGTTCTATTGTGCACCTGCATACATACATGAAAATCCATATCAGAGCAAATAAGAAGCTCAACTCATCTGAGATAGCGGAGGCTTTGAATATATGCGTGTGTGTGTATATATATATATCTTTGATTTCCATCCTGAAATAAAGTCTGCATATTTTCAAAGTCTTACCTAGTCCTTTGTGGGGAAAGTGATTCTCACCTCTTTGAATTCAGATAATGTGACATGAAAAAGACAAGTAGGGTGAAGAGGAGGAAAAATCAATTGAAAACTTATTTATAAGCCATTATGCTAATGATTTTATATGCATTATCTCACTTGATGCTTTTAAGTATCCTTAGCTGGTAATTACTATTGATCACCCATGTTTTAAATGGAAACCAAGTTTTGAGGGAAATTAAGAAGTTCCTCGCATTACATGACTACTAATTAGTGGAGAGAATACCTGTTGATGGAAAGTAGCGTAATATTAGCCACTAAACAAGCAACTCTTGTTTTATTTTGATTCTTTGGTACCTTCTGTAGGTCTTGTCCTGCTCACCAGGTAGAGGGTGGCAGACATAACGCTTCATGTTTCCAGAGTCTGAATTCTGAGTTTGGTATTCAGTACCAATTATGTTTCCTTTTACCATAGTTATTGTTTTCACTAGTTGTGCTTCAGATTCCTAAAGAAAGAGATCAGCGACAATACTTGATTGGTGAAGATGTTTTGGAAAGTAAAGTCAGTGAGCATAAAAAAAACAATTGGAACACAGCCTGACATTGGGAAGCAAAAATATTTTTTAAAGATTAATTTATTCATTTGGAAGGCAGATTTAGAAACAGAGAGATCTTCCATTTGCTGTCTTGTGCACCAAATGGTCTTGACAACTGGAGCTGGGCCAGTCCAAAACCAAAAGCTGTGAAGATCTTCTGGGTCTGCTACAAGGGTTCAGAGGCCCAAGCGTGTGAGCTGTGTTCCACTGCTTTCGCAGATGCATGAGCAAGGAGTTGAATCTGAAATAAGGCAACCAGTGCTTGAACTGGTATGCACATGAGATGCTGGCATCACAGGGGGCAGCATTACCTGCTATGCCACCACAGTGCCAGAGCTACAAAACAATTTTAATTGATGGTATTAGTAAAAGAAAAGAATTACATACTACATGCCTCCTTTTAACAAAGACAATTAATTTGGGCTGCATATATATTAATCGGTCACTATTGATTCCTGGTTGTTAATCATTCCATGTTCCTTGGGAGTTTTCTGACCAGCAGGTCTCTGCAGTCACCAAGGGGTGAGATGGACAGTGCTCAGCAGTAGCAAGAACCAATCAGAGGCAGTCTGAACAAACATGTCCATTTACTGTAAAGCAAGCACAAACTTCTATAGACTAAGAAAGGAGGAAGGCAGAATGGTGTCTCCCGACAATTATTCTACCCTGCAATGGTAATGTAATTGGCTAGAAGGCATGTTTATCTCTTTGGACCCTTGGATCATGTCACAGGCCACACACAATACTCAGAACTGGCAGGTATGCCACAGGTCATGTTCACCACATGTGGCTGGCAAATAGGCTATGGGTCACATATAACATATTTAAGTGTATATTGTCAATGTATCTAATAAATACAAATGTCTTCCAGACAATTTTGTGCTGCAAATGCCTAAAAAAACTATTTATGTATGTATGCTTTTTATTTGAAGGGTAGAGAGACAGATCTTGTAATCATTAGATCACTCTTTCAAAATCCTGAAAGTAAGGCATATTAAAGCTGCGTGACAGGGTGATACACAACTGTGTGACAGGGAACAGAACACCTGAGCCATTGCCTGTTGCTTTCCCATGTCCAAGTGTGCACCAGCAGGAACCTGGAATTGGGAGCATGGTCAGGACTCCAACCAGTAGGATCTGGGCATCTGAAATATTTTCTTAGCCCCTATGCTGAGCTCTTACTCAAGAAAATCATTGTTAAAAGATTCTAAGTCCTGAAATTAAATGATCACTTATTTTTCTTCATAAATACAGCATGCAATTGCCATGGAAAAGCTGAGGAATGCTATTATGATGAAGAAGTTGCTAGAAGAAACTTGAGCTTAAATATACATGGAAAGTACATTGGAGGAGGGGTGTGCATTAATTGCACCCAGAATACTGCTGGTATAAATTGTGAAACATGCATTGATGGTTTCTTCCGACCCAGAGGGGTGAGTATCTTTTTTCCCCTGCACTAAGTGTTGTTATTACCTTGTCATACAAAAAAGGATGATATAACACAATTGTTTGGATTGGTCTTCCAAAAATTTGAATTTCAAACTGTAAATTCCGGAGACAAGGATTGTTGAGTAATTGTAATCTTTGAAGACACAACACTAAATATTTTCTTCACTGCTGAGAGTTCCACTATGCCACATTCCAATCAGTCCCCAACTCTAGAAATCTGTTTTTAAAATATTATTATAGAGTATAAATGAGTTTTTAAAGAATATTCTTTTGGGGGCCAGGCAGCGTGGCCTAGCAGCTGAAGTCCTCGCCTTGAACGTACCGGGATCTCATATGGGCACTGGTTCTAATCCCGGCAGCTCCACTTCCCATCCAGCTCCCTGCTTGTGGCCTGGGAAAGCAGTCGAGGATGGCCCAAAGCTTTGGGACTCTGCACCCCTGTGGGAGACCTGGAAGAGGCTCCTGGATCCTGGCTTTGAATTGGCACAGCATCGGCCCATTGCGCTCACTTGGGGAGTGAATCATGGTTTGCAGAGAGAGAGAGAATCTTTCACCTGCTCTTTGACTTCCTAAATGGCTGCAACAGTCAGAGCTGGGCCAGTCAAACACGGAAGACAGAAACTTCTTCCAGGTCTCCTATGTGGTTATAGGGAGACCATTCACATGGGTGCAAGGACTTGGGCCACTCTTCACGGCTTTCCCAGGCCAATAGCAGGGAGCTGGATCAGAAGTGGAGAAACATATAAAATGCCAGCTTCACATATAGAGACTTAATGTGCTATGCCATGGTACCAGCCCCTATAACTTACTTATGGAGTTTGGAAAATTTCATAAAAATGTAAATATACGGTATGTACTGGTTTGTATCTTTTCTCTTTTCAATCATAGGATTTTAAGATTGATCCATGTTAAATGAATCTGATTTTTAAGAATTATTGATGAGTAGTCCTCTGTTGAATATACAAAATATTTTAATATAGTCTCCTCTTGACAGATATTTGAATCATTTATAGTTTCAGTTACCTAATACCAACTATTTTGTAGAAGTATATGATCATAGTTTCACTTACCCAAGTTGTGAATACCTAGAATTTTACATAACACAGGTATATGATAGTGTTTGATATAATAGCTAACTGCTGATCATGGACAAACCAATGGTAGCATTTCACACATTCCCTAAAAATGTTTAAATGCCCATTTGTTCCATCTTTAAGTATTTGATGCTGACAGTTCTTGCAGGAATGCAGTCATTCTAGTGGGTATGAAATTATACTCTATCATTTAACTTTATGGACAGTCTCAAGTAAATATTAATTAGAGGTGTGAAGTAATCAAGCAGGGTATACATAGCTAACCTGATACTCCAGAACAGAATTTTAAGAGTAAGTTGCTCATTGCATGTCAGTTTCTGGAGCCTCTAGTTGTTGGATGTGCTTGTGCCCTCTTTTCACCTACCTGATTTAGCTTTCTTAATTCTAAAATTTGTAAGTGCAGCTTTATATTTCTTTGAAGACTGTTCTGTCTCTGGCAGTTTGTTTGCATTTCCATATAATTTTAAAATTGCATTGTCAAGTAGAGAATCTGTTGCTTGGAGTTGTTTGGTATGTATGTACAAATGTAGAGGTCCCTGGCATTGAGTACATCTTTCTGCTTACTTGAATGCCCTTTGATTACTGATAACAATGTCTTCCATGTACAGATCTCACTTGCCTTTATGGAGTTTATATTCAGCACTTTGCTTTATATTTTGTGAAACATTGCTTTTTAAAAACACGTTTTTCATGTTTTGATGTCCTATTTGAACTATTTTTGAATATTTCGGTTCCACTCCATTCAAAGTTCATGTGTTGGTCCTGGTGGTTTTAAACTACACTATTTATAAGTATACACACTATCATTGCTCTTGCAAATAAATTGAGGCTTCCTCCCTTCCAATATTTGTGTCAATGTTAAGTGGAAGTGGTGAGAGCTGAATTTTTACTTCACACTAAAAATCAAAGCAAAGTACAGTATTTCACTATAGAGTGTGATGGGAGCTGTAGATATTTTATGGAGTTTTTTTTTTATCAAATACAGGAAGTTTTTTATTACTAGAGTGCTGAGAGAGTTTTTTTTTAAATTTTAAACAAAGGATCATTGAATTTTGTCAAATGCTTTTCTATGTCTACCAAAGTAGACATGAAGATTTGCCTCTCTGTTGTCATTGAGCTCAGTTTTCCCTGAGAATTTTTTTTTAACATTAAACCAAATTTTCAGTTGTGATTTAAAATCCACTTTTTTTTTTATTAAAATAGGATTTTTATTTAGCGGATGACTTTATTTGCCCAGGAGTTTCTGTGTCTTCTAAGAGATATCAGTCTGTGATTTTATTTATCTTTGTCAGAATTGTTTTCTTTTTTAATTTTATTTTTTACTCCTATTAATTTCCATGATACAGTTTTGTAGACATGGTGATCCACTCTCCCCCTCTCTTTCCTCCCACCCCAATTCCTCCCATCATCCCCACCATCCTTATTATCGCAGTCGTACAATGCTTTAGTAATACTTGTGGCATCATGGCATTGTAGGCAGAGACAAAAGGTAGAAAATCTGGTATCACGTTGTCAAGGCATATTTAAATGTTTTAGCAGGGAGTGTCCTGATTTTACTCAGAGTAGAGATGCATACTGCAATATATCTTTACTTCCTGATATGATCATCTCTATTACACAGTTCATCTTGAAGAATACATGTGTAAAATCGTTAACCTATCTATATACCTATTTGTATTTGGCAAGAAGGTTGACATAGCAAAGAAAACTTGTGGTATTTGTCCTTTTGGGACTGGCTTATTTCACTCTATTGGGATAAAATGGTCCCAGAAAGGAGGCAGGAAACATTTCCTATTTCTCTGTTTCCTAAAGTTTTTTTTTTTTAATATTTGGGTCACCTTGGAGTCTACTTTTATTAATTTATTTCTTCTTGTGTAAGGACCCCGTAATAAAGCAATGATGAGATTCCTCAGATAGTGCTAATCTGGTTACAGTTTGTGAAGACAATGAATAATCAGCAGCAACTGGTAGAACTTGCTTTTATGCTTTAGGCATATTGATGAAGAGAAGGTCAGAGGTTTTAATCTAAGGTTTCTAATTTGATTGAATCAAAATCTTATTTATTATTTGTTACATTTAGTATCAGCCCCTGAGAATTCATTAGATTCTTTGCCTTTCTACCTATTGCCTTCCATTGGATTCCAAGGAGCAGCCTGGTTAAAGAAAGCAAAAAATAAAAGCAAAAAAATAAACAAAACACAGTATTACATGTGTACATATATAACAGAAAAGGCAGCAATAACACCCTTGAGTGGCATTCATTTTCAGAGTTTGGTCTATTTATTTTCCATAGACCAAATCTTTCCGATTTCTGATTCCTTTTGATTATTGTCTTAGCTCCTCATTTGTATTTTGCATATTTTCTAGAATTTATAAATATTACTCAGTGGTGTCCTATGTCCTATGTTAGACACAATACCAAGTCTAAATGGAAGTTAGAGCAAGCTTTTATTATAATTCCAGTAACTAAGTAGTGTCAGCCTAAATTTTAGCATTTTAATAGTTATAAAATAATTATAATGAGCAATGTAAAATGAAAACGTTGGAAAGACTTCGTATTTCAGAAGTCTATGAAGTTAAAGATAGAAATGTTGTATGAGTTGTGCTTTAAACATTACATGTTATCTTAATGTTGTCAAATTTATCTTTATAATCTTTCTACTAAATACAGACAATTTTTATAGTAGACTGAACTATTCTTTTGTTTCATGTATATTGTTTTAAGTTTTATTTCCTTTTATTGGAAAGCTCATCATATTTATGGAGAGAAGGAGAGTCAGAGAAAAATCCCCCATCTGCTGGTTCATTCTCCAAATGGCTTCATTGGCCAGAGCTGAGTTAGTCTGAACCCAGGAACCCAGATCTTCATCCAGGTCTCCCACATGGGTGCAGGGGCCATCCTCGTCTGCTTTTCTAAACCAAGGGCAGGGATCTGGATGTGAAGTGAAGTATCTGAGACAAAAACCAGAACCCATATGGGATCCTGGAACTTTTAAAGTGAGAATGTAGCCATTGAACCATTGTATCAGGCCTTGTTCTGTTATTTTAACAAAATTTAAAGGTAGGACCTGGCATGATGGTCAAAGGGCTATATCCTCACCTTGCAAGAGCCAGGATCCCATTAAGGTGCCTATTTGTGTTCTGATTATTCACTTCCCTTCCAGCTCCCTGATTGTGGCATGGGAAAGCAAAAGTGGTAGACCCAAGTCCTTGGGACCCTGCACCCTTGTGGGAAACTGAGAATAGTCTCCTAACTTTGGATGGGCTCAGCTCTACCTGTGGCAGTCACTTAGGGGAGTGAAACAGTGGATGGAAGGTCTTTCTCTGTGTCTCTCTTCTCTAGATCTGCCTTTCCAATAAAAATAAATAAATATTTTTTTAAAAAATTAAAGATCATCATGGAATTCATATGTTGCTTACTTACAGAGCTGATAAGATTTCCTGTTGAGCAACTTTATTTAGGCAGATTCCTTAATAGTCTCAAGAAAGAATAAGGAGGTTTTTTATTTCAAATGGCCAAAATTTGGTCCTAGGTCTGTCCATCTTTCCTTCCTTCTTTCTCTTTTCTTTTCTTTCCTTTCCTTTCCTTTCCTTTTCCTTTTTTCTTTCTTTTTTTTTTCATTTTCTTTCTTCTTTTTCATTCTCCTTTCTTTCTTTCTTCCTTCCTTCTTTCTTTCTTTCTTTCTCTTTTTTTTCTCCCTCTCTCTCACCGACCCTTCCTCCCTTCCTTCCTTTTTTTTTTGGTTTGTACTATGCCTACACATAAGTGTCTTATTATTTTCTTATGTTGGTTGGTTCGTTGTATGACTTAGTAATTTCTCTAAATAAAAATCTGTCACCTAATTCCACCTCTAATTGCTACTCATATATGAAATTCCACTTTATCTGTCACTTTTTCTGTGAGATATTACTTTATTATGTTGCTTTGTTATATTGTCTTCTTTTTTCCCTGTAACAATCTGTTATGTACATCTGTTCTGTCATTTGGCATCTTCTTTTTAGCCAATATATTTTAAATATGCTATACCTGTAATCTGAATATAGAAATAATGTTTTATATGTCTGTGCTGTACAGAGTTCTTACTAAATAAAATCTTTACATCAATAATTTCAAACTGTGTTGCACTGGAGACTGGAACAATTACTAAGACCATTGTGGAAACCAAGCAGAACTCTCATTATCCATTTTTAATTATTTTTATTTGTTATTAAAAATGACACTGTGGTTAGAAAGAGCTGAAGGCCAAAATGTATCAGAATTAAAGACTTGTTCTTTGGAAACTCATTTTTAGAAACTTGCCAAAGTGTAAAAAGTGATGACATTTAATAACCTTGAAAATTCTTGAATCTAAGTAAAATTCATTGTTCTGTGCTCTTTAATGTTATGTGTCTGTTAGAACAACTAGATCTTAAATGTAAACCCACTGAAACATTTTCTTACAACTTATGTTAAATGACTTATCAGTACATGTTTTTAAAAATAATTAATTCTTTCATGTTTGCAGATCTAGAAAAGACTGGTATTATTTTATTTTAGTTGATTAAGAGCATTTTAATATGTTTGTTAGGTGTCTCCTAAATACCCAAGGCCATGCCAGCCATGCCATTGTGATCCAATTGGCTCTATAAGCGAATTTTGCGTCAAGGATGAGAAACATGCTCGAAGAGGTGAGTGCTTCATTTGAACGGAAAAGTAGAAGCCAGAGCCAATGATCTTGTGAACCAATGCTGTAAATGGCAACAATGCAATCTGTTTATAAATCCATTAGTGTACCATGCTTCCTCAAGAAAGCAGCTTGCATTCATTGTTGTAATTAATGTAATTATGTTTGATTCTCATGGTTTATGAGAGATGAATCATTTGTTTTGAATGGTTTGGGTATACGCAAGTTTATATATTGTCTATGTCTATATTTAGAGAATAAATTACTATTATTATTATTAAGGTAATTTTGTGCATTCCATGGGTTCCAGGATGAAGTATTAACATTCAGTGAAAGGTAAGGGTTAGGTGTGGTACAATGGGAAGAGATTATGCACTGGTGTGTAGCCATGAGCTAATTAAAGGAGGCAATCTGATGTTCGTTTAAACAAAACACTTCTGGGGAATGAAATTTATTGATGTTTCAAACATAGAGCGCTTGACATAAAATGTCTCTTCCTCCCACTCTTCCTTTCATCCTTCCATCCTTTCTCCCATGTATGCATCCTTCCATCCATCCATCCTTTTTTATTCTGTATCTTCTAATGTTCTGAACAAAAAAGGGTATTTGGATATCTAACCCACAGGATTTCCAGAAACAAAAAATCGACCTAAAAGTTATTTGTTACATGGAAAGCCTTTACATTTTACCTTCATTTCTGGATATTTTAACATAAGAAGTCATTATGGAGATTTTGTTTAGTTTTGATTTTTTAAGATTTACCTTACTTATTTGAAAGACAGAGTCAAGAAGCAGAGACAGAGAGCGATCATCTGTCCTCTGGTTCATCACCAAAATGCCCACCACAGCTGGGACTGGGTAAGGTCTAATCTGGGATTCCGGAGCACCAGTAGGAAACCCATATATGAAGAGCAGGGCCCAAGCATTTAAGCCATATTCTATTGCTTTCGTGGCAGTAGGGAGCTAGGTAGAAAGGGACTCCAACTGGGTGCTCATAGGAAATACCATCGTTGCAAGTGGGTCAGCATCACTGTGGGTTAGTACCAAAGTGCTGTCCCCAGAAATATTTTCTAATGCTTTCATAACCTCAGCTAAAATTTAGTTCTCAGTGAATTGTTATCAGCCTCAGAGTTTGTGGACAGTATTCCCTGATTTTTAAATTAATTTTACGCAGAATATGCTATGTTATCATTACCATAAGCTTCTAGCTGAACACTGGGCCTTTTGGTTTACACTTGTATGATCAAGATATGCATTTCCAAAATATTGTAACAATTCTTAAGAATTAATGAAGTATCTGTTTGAAAAATATATTAGTATGTGGCTCACATTCCCTTAGGTCTGGCCCCTGGATCCTGCTATTGCAAACCTGGCTTCGGAGGGGTGAGCTGTGATCGGTGTGCCAGGGGCTACACTGGCTATCCAGACTGCAAATCCTGTAACTGCAGTGGCTCGGGAAGTACAAATGAGGACCCTTGTTTAGGACCTTGTAACTGCAAGGTATGTTATTTACTATGGTAATGTCCCAGTGCCAACCTAGAGAGCTATTTTCTCTAATGCACCTAGTATTGTATACTTACATTAAGCATGGTAGCAATTTTTCTCTTTGATTTCCTGTTGTCTTTCATGGATAAGCATCCTCAAATTCTTGCCAGGTACACTGTCACTAGATCTTTTTAAATTACTTATTATTTACCTAAAAACCTAAAATTACACAGGGCATAAATCACTTCAAGAATTTGCCATTTCATTTCAAAGAATTTGGCTAACATTGCCCATAAAATACGGTAATTTAAAAGTATAGTCCCTAAACATAACAGTCTCTAAAAAGTAAGGGACACTTCACTCTACAGTTTGATGTCTAATTCTTGTAAGAATGCTATCAAATTTGTCATTCTTGATTTGTAAATAGCATTCTGAAGTTTGAATTGAGATAGGTCAAACAATACTCACCATATGCAAACTCTTTTGTTGAATTACAGCAACTGTGAGAAGTCCTGGTAGAACTGATTAAAGATTGAACATTTCCTCTGAAGGGTACTTTTAGAAATGAAACCACGTTTGTGGTAAACACTCAGCTAATAGATCTTCGTGCTAACACCAAGGGATGCATTACATCTGTAGTTTATACACACTGAGGAAGCAGAGGCATACCCAAGTCAAAAGGGAAAGCTGGCACACTTGAGCAGTAATTTTCTCATCAGTGTGTAACTATAACAGCTTGGGAGAATAAACCATTCTTTGAAAAAACAGGCTTGTTATACTGTTGTGGAAATTACTTCTCCATTTTTGCTTTAAATTACAGATGGAATCCTGATATTTCTTTTTGTTTTCTGATTGTTTTAGTCTTTTCCAGACAATGATAAAATATTATGTACATAGTTGATCTCTGTGTGGGTATATTATTGTGTATATAAACATTAAATCATAACATACAAAGGAAATGTGAACTTAAATGAATGTTAAATGTGTGTGTTTTGGCCAGGAATTATTTTAAACACAAAGCTAACTATCATAGTAGTTGCATAATAGAAAAATCAGGGAAAGTTATCTAATACAATAAAACTCCTGCTCATTGAATAAGTAGAAAGTCCAAAGTGTTCTAGTATTGACTTGTCATGTACTGGTCTATTGTAAAGTATATGTTACAGTGTATTTTCAAGTTTAGTGTATTTCATTCCAGTACTATCAGAAATGAAATACTGCTCCAACAGACATTGACTTCAAGGTCCTCTGTGACTGATTGCTTGCTAAAGGGAACTTCCCCTCTATATCATGGATTTCCCTTGTGAAAATTCTACAGGCTTTTAGTACATCCATGATATTTACCAAAATATATCTTGTGTGAGCTGTATTCATTTTTCATAAAAGCAGATATGTGTTTCACCACTTTCTCAAATACAGAGCAGGCAAAACTAAGTATAAAGTTGAAGACAAGCTTGCCCAGTCTCTAGAATACAGCAAGTCAAATGAGTGTAGGAGTTGAGGAGGGTAGTGAGGATTTTTGATCCATCTATCATTATAGAATTATAATATCTGATATTCGCAAGGAAGAGAGGCCTTACTATTTTTTTTTTAATTTTTATTTATTTGGCTCCTTCAAATGCAGCAAGACAGGATAGAGCAAGCGAAGCGGGAATAGCTCTGTATTCCCTGAATTCTCTGTATAGTACCTTTACCTAATTACAAGGCAGCTCTTGGCCTGACTTAATACTGTATCAGTAGTGATTATAGCCCTAATAAGATAAATGCCTCCCATGTAGCCACTTGTATCTCGCAGACAACGAAAATACAGTAGCAAAGAACAATTAAAAAGTTGTAAAGCAAAATAAAAGATTAAGTAAATACCATCATTAGGATAATGTGTTTCAAAGATGATATTTAAAATAGACCACATGCTTCTAAAAATTGAATTTTTAGAATACAAATCATAGAAAGAAAACATCTCAGGGTTTATATACGTGTGTTTATATATATATATGTTTATATATAATGTGTGTAAAAATTCAATATGCATGAACTATGAATTCTGTCACAAAATTATGCCATAATAGATTAGAATAAATTATATCAAAAGGTATAAGTATGTTGCAGCATGCTCCAATAACCAGTAGCCTCTTCCTCAGAACAATAACAACAAACTATACTTCCATTTTAAATAGCAAAAGGCAACTATGTATAATTCACAAAAGTTTTATTTGACATATGTGTTTTAGACAGTTAAAAATCATAAGATGCTAGGGAATATATAAAATTTTTTGAGAGAATAAAATATTGGAGTTTTAAATTTTAATAAAATGGAATTTTTAACTAAATAGGAAGAACATATACTTCCACATACAGCTACACTCAAATTTAGTAACTTTGAAAGAGTAATTATTTGTAAATTGAATAATTTGCATATAATGCAGGATTATAGAAGTATTCATCTCCAAGTACATATTAACCAAACATATTTGGTTAATTACAATACTGCAATTTTTCATAATTCCGTGGGAAAAATCTCTCATTTATTAAAATATAAAATCATTTTAGTAAAGTGCTTTGCAAGGAAGGCTTCAGTCTAAATATTTTTTTCTAAAACAAAAAAGTTTGGTTATCTAAGTAGATGCAGAAAATGTAACTGATAGATATAATATACTTTCATGAGAAATTCCTTGTGCTGATTGGGAACAGATGGGATATTCCTCAGCACAATCAAGGCAGTATGACAGTTAACAATCTATTGGAACTCACTGGAGCGTTTGATAAAATTGCAAAATATAAAATCAACACAAAGACATCATTTGCATGTACAAAAATATGCCTGAGAGAGAACTTGTAAGATCAGTCCCATTCACGATAGCTTCAAAAAGTATACAGTAAGTTTAATCAAAGATGTGAGAGATCTCTGTGGCGAAAATTTCCAAATATGGAAAAAAATCTTCCAAGTTCGTTGATTGGCAGAACCAATATTATCAAATTATCTGTACAACCAAAATGCAATTTACAGATTCAGTGTGATCCCCACCAAAATGCTTATGATATTTTTCTGAAATAAATAAAAATTGGTACTAAATATCATGTGGAAACACAGGAGACCCAAAAAGATAAAAGTGGCTTAAAACAACACAAAGTTGTAGGCATTAAAATATAAGACTTCAGATATACTACTGGGCAGTTGTATTCAAACAGCTTGGTATTGGTGCATAAAAGGATTTACACATCAATAGTATGGATGGAAATCCCAGAAATTAACCCATACATCCAAGGCCAACTAATTTTTGACAAGAGGGCTGAAATCAATACAAGGAGAAAGAACAGTCTTTTCAAACAATGGTGCAGGAAAAATTCAATACATATGTGCCAAGCTATAACACACAATCTCTACCTTAGAGTTTATACAAAAATGAAATCTAAACTGATTAATGACCTAAATATGTGACCAGATACCATGAAATTGCTAAAGGAAAACATCAGGAAAAATCTGATGATGATGGCGTAGGCAAAGACATCTTAGAAATAACCACAGAAGCAAAGGCAAGAAAAGTAAAATAAGCCAACCCAAAAAGAACAAATATCCTGTGTTCTCACTGGTATGAGACAACATTTTTGTAAAATAAAAAACAAATATATATATATATGTATGAACATGTATATACATATATATTATATATGAATGTATAGGCAAGATTAGCATACTGAGAAATGTAAATACATTGCGGAAGGCATTTCTATTCCGGACTAAAAGAAGAACTTCCAGTGAAACAGTTAAATGTACTTGGACAACTTGATTTTCTAGTTTTGTCTGTACCTACAATGCACTAAGCACTTGAATAGCACGTTGTTAAGCTTGGAGCTGTTACTGAAACACTATAGTAATCACGGGGTGAAGGGTGGAGGGGAAAAGGTAGGGAGGGGAATCGTTACACCTACACAACTATATCATGGAAAATAATAAAAATAATTTTTAAAAAGAATTAAATACAAAAAACTGAAAATAGGAAAATGGGATCATAAGCTAAGAAGCATATGCGCATTGAACAAAGTGAAGAGGCAGCCAACAGAATGGGAGAAACTGTTGTGAAACTTAAAGGATTAGTAGCTAAGATCTGTGAAGAAGCAAAGAAACTCAGCAACAGACGAGTGGTTCAGTTAAGAAGTTGAGAAGGACGTGAACAGGCAATTTTCAAGATCTAAATATGAGACCTAAAACTTTGATACTGTTAAAAGAAAACATAGGAAAACTATTCTGGAAATTAGAATGGGCAAGAGCTTTGTAGGTCACACCTCAAGCAGAGGAAACAAAAAGAATAGAGAACTGTGATGCTGTGGTGCTAAAGAAACCATCAACAAAGTGACACCCTTCAAAATGGTGGAAATATATGCCAACTGCACATATGGCAAGGAATGGGAAGCTGCAGTGTATACTGAACTCAAACAACCTGGTAGCAAAAACAAATAATCCAATTAGAAAATGAGCTGTAGATCCAAGCAGGCATTTTTCAAATGAAATCATACAGATGGGCAAAAGTAATGAGGAAAAAAAAATGTTTAAGTATTGTTGATCATCATGGAAATGCACATCAAAACCACAATGAGGGCTCTGCGGCATGGCCTAGTGGCTAAAGTCCTTACCTTGAACACAAACACCAGGATCGCATATGGACGCCGGTTCTAATCCCAGCAGCTCCCCTTCCCATCCAGCTCCCTGCTTGTGGCCTGGGAAAGCAGTCGAGGACGGCCCAAAGCTTTGGGACCCTGCACCCGCGTGGGAAGCCTGGAAGAAGTTCCTGGATCCTGGCTTTGGATCGGAATAGCATTGGCCATTGCGGTCATTTGGGGAGTGAATCATCAGACGGAAGATCTTCCTCTCTGTCTCTCCTCCTCTCTGTATATCTGACTTTCCAATAAATAAATAAATCTTAAAAAAAACACAATGAGAATTACTTCACTTTAATAAGATAAACAATTATCAGAAAGATAGAAGATAATCAGTGTTGGTAAGACTGTAGAAAAAG